TAAAGATTTATAGCCTCGGAAACCCTGTACAGGGTCGCCATGAGTTGCTATGAGTCACACTAACATTGTTGTTAAGTGCCATCGAGTCGGCTCCAACTCACAGCAGCCCTGTATAGGGTGCCCGAGGAGCAGCTGATGGGTTTGAACCTCTGACCTTGTGGTTCACAGTCCAGTGCTGATGTTACAACACCACACCTGGAGTCCTTAAGGACTGTTTTTACAGCTGACTGACCTGCAACCCTAAAGTGCTCCTGTCGCATTTTGCCCTGGTCCCTCTTGCTCTCAGGGGGTCTAAAGAATTAGTTCCACTGAGTTGCTGCTTCTCAGAAGACCTGTTAGAATTGGGGAGTATAGATTAAGTCAGAGCGAAAGTATGCATCACAGAGAGAAGTGGGTCTGTCTCTGCGAGTGGAGATGACACTTTGGGGTTGGGGTACACTGGTTTATAAAGATATGGGGTCTCTTCCTTCAAGAGTGGGCTAATAGATATTGATTAGGAGGAGTGATATGTTGAATATTTATTGATTTTAGTAAAGGGGCACAGGCTTCTTGGAAATGGAGTGCTTTCTGCAGTTGTCTGCTCAGGCACTATCTTTATGGGCTGGCTGGCTGCTTTTATTAGGGTCTTGGGTCCTGATATCTTTATCTTTGTCTCCAGGCTGGTCTTCTTTGTGTTACTATTTTTATTGGACTAGAGAGGTCCTCCCTCTTTTCTGTCTAGTAGGAAAGGACTCAGGGCAAAGGGGTGGATACGAAGCCAGGGTACGAGAGGCCCAGGGTCCAGGGGTCCTAATCTGTCCTTGATACTCTGACTACAGACTGAGAAACTAACACAAAAGGAATTTACACTGACCTTCAGATTATCCTGCCTGGACCCCACCTATAAACCTTATTTTCAGTATTCCTTCTTCTGAGCACCTTCCTGATACATTGGGTTTGACCCTGCCCAGTTCAAACCATAACTACTCACAATAAACACGAGGACAAGTTGAGAAGTATTGCCACTAGGATTCCAATTCATGCATGCAGTGTTTATTCCAAGCAAACATGTTTCAACATGTCTCTGAGCTCAGCGGGTGGCTGTGGACAAGTTCTGTCAGTGATAACAATTGCGGTGGTCTAGTTCGAGCGTCTTCAAGGAAAGATCCAGTCAAAACAGAGCCTGGGCCAGTGCAATGCTGTGTGGGGCCGTGTCTGACTTCCTCTGGTTTCACAAGGGTGTTGTTGTTGTTGTTGTTGTTGTTGTAGGAGAATCAAACTCGAAACTAGCGCAAGGCAGATTCATATGAAGTGGAGGTCAGACCTGTCTCCACCCTACAACCTTCTTAACCCGATTCCGACACCCAACCATCCCTCCCCCAGTACTCTGCTTCACATCTGGATTTTTTCCATAATCCACTGCAATGGTCACACACAACTCAAGATTATACAATTACGGGGTTTACTAGGGCAGTGGATAGGGTACATTCAGGATGCAGCAGTTCTCCAATCAGGCACCCTTGCTCTTGTCTTTGGCCTCTCAGCTTCTGCCCCCCTTGGGTAAGTCTTACAAACCTGCTTGAGCCAGTCTGTAAATGCCCAAAGGACACATTCTGCAAGCCAGCCTCCTGCCCGCAGGCACTCAGCTTGGCTTGGTCCTTCGGCCTAGAAGCCCACCGCTGCTCCGTCTGTTACCACCTCTGCTGTTGCC